CTTGACATTGCCCCTCACGCCATCGAACGTCTTCACAGCGTTCACATCTACCCAATCGTCATATTCATTCGCTACAAAAATGCCAAGCAGATAAAGTGAGTAATCCCATATCTTTAAAAAAAAAAAAAAAGTTTAACTTATTTATTTAGATTTCTTGCCTGCCGTGTGTTTTGGTTCCACTGCTGTTTATCCAATTTCACCTGTTTTTATTCTGTTGTCAGGGGATTGGACATCATTTCTTATTTAATCCCAAAACTGTTACACACAACTCAACATTATTTAGCATAAATGGTGTCTTTGCATGCTTTTCCCAGTAAGACCGATGTTTGGTCAAAAGATATTAGAATGACTCAGCTACCAAAATCACCACCCTCTCATCCATGTTGTTGCACGACCTCACTCCAGGAAATATGATTCTTAATTATCTGTAACTTAAAAGGGCTACCCAGGAAATTGACATGTACAGATTTGTTGCTGCCTTTATAATCACGTTCATCCTCCAGACACTGATGAAGCTAATTGATCAACTTGATTTGATCAGTGTCATTAGTTCAGGAACCGCCTCCCCTGCTACACCACCTTCTGGATTCTCTTAAGAGGATGGTGATATGTCAAAGATCCCTCTGCTGTTTCATTTGTAATTGAAGGGAAGAAAAATCTGCTCAACCCACAGCATTGTACTTTATGTACACAAACACAAAGACACACTCAGGTCTGGCACAAACCAGCTTTCTCTGCTGCACATGTCCATACCCACGCCTACAAATCTATGAAGTCGTGCAGCAGGCAAACATGATGGAGATTGATTCTTGCTAAGCCTTCACTGTCATCAGCTGAGTGCCAGCTGTCCAGGGAGAGCTTGCAGGGTCTGTGGCTCTGCTTCATGGCGTGGGTGGCTAAAACACTCAGTGCCCCCATCAGCAGCGGCCACCATGAACACACCTCCCACTGCCTGCCTGCTGCAGCGACAGAAGCTTGAGCTTTGTCATGGATTTTTTCATCCTCTGGGAGGCGTCAGCAGACCAATATGTTGACTGACTGCTGAGTGCCAGGGAGAGAGGGGAGAGGCATTGTAGTTTGGGTCAAAGACTCCCAGTGGCTGAAGACTGAGGACTCACAACTTCTTCTCAAGCCTTTGTAAAGATATGGAGTGAACCTGTGAGCTGGAAAAAGTTTTTCTAATAAAACGCTGTAGGTTATTACCCATAGACTGTATATAAAGATGGACAACATGACTGCTTCCCTTAAAGTGAAGCCTAAGTGTCTTTATCATTGCCTGGTGGCAGGCTGCAGCACAGGTCATAAACCTTGCCTCCTCCATTTTAGTGAATTTTCATGCAGCAAATAAAAAGTCAGAATATGTCAAATACATTTTTCTCAAAGATGGTTTCTGTCATTTTAGGTAGCTCTCATCTCACTGCTTTATGTCCAAATGCTGTTTTGTTTGGTTTTAATTGGTGACCTGATGCTGTACAAATGGGGTAAAATGTCATGATTCACGTGGCACCATCCCGAATTGCTGCCACACAGACATTTGTTGCAAGATGGCAGCGTTCGTATCCGGGATATTTTGGCTTCATTTCTGGATAGTGGGAGGATGGGGAGATGTGTCATCCATCTTTATATGCAGTCAATGAAGTAGTACCTGATAGATGTTGACAGATGCCGGTGTTGTCTCATCAGGGAGCAGAAGGACCCTCTGTACCTGCGGGATAAACTCTCACAGAAACATTCCAAGGAGCAGTTTGAGGCGGCTCAGAAAATAGAGCAGGAGTACAGCCGCTTCTTCACAGGTTGGTGGAATTTGCTTTTTGTCTGATGTACAAAAGCTGGTGTTTATACAGCGATTACATAATGGCAACAATTATTTTGAGTTAATAGACAGCTCAGTGCACTGCTTCGTACTAAAAATACTGAAAGAGGTATTTAACATGGATATAGTGAATAATTTCAGTATTGTTGCAGAACTGAACACCAGTTTGTGAATAAAAGTTTTGATTAATGTTACCTCAGTTCACCAAATAACAAAGTTAGCTAGTTGTTTCTCCTCATGCACTTTTTAAAATAATTTTTACCTGCTTTAGTTTTGAGAAAAACAAACCATTACTCATGATCACTGTCCATTATATTGTTGTTATACTTTAAACTCCTGCTGTTACATAATGGAAGTATTACACATTCAGCAGTGAGTAATACTGTCTTTTGGGACCTGCATGACGCGCAACAAACTCTTTAACATGCTCGTCTTTCTGTTGAGACCTTTTAAATCCTACACACAGTATTTGTCGTCCTAAACTGCGACAAGTTGCAGGATATGAGATCTTATTGTTGAAATCAATCATTGAAATGTAATCTTCAGATGCTTGAAACATGACAAATCATTTCTTAATTGATATGGATTTTTTTGTGGAAATTAGAGTATGTGATTTGTATTCATTTATAGGATATTGTTATCAAACTAAGCTAAACACAAATAATACACGAACCAGCCATAAGTCATGGTAACAAATATAATCATCATTATGGTTTTGTTTAACCAGTGAGAGTCTGTAACAGCACTGGAGGTTATCTGAGGTTTTTGGAGCGCAGCGTCTCTGTGGTCTCGAACAGATCATAGTCAAGTCTCTGTTTCTGTATCTGGAGCAGCGACCTGTCTGAGACTCCCGACTGTCCAGCTGATGAATGACTCTATAAAAGGAGGCCATTTATGAGGAAGGGCTCTGGAAATTAACACATACCACAGTAGATCCCTCTCTAACAGGGAGACGTGTCTGGCCAACTCCTGCACACAGGCCACGACGATGGCAAGTTATAAATCTGAGTGTTGGGAGGCAGACGTTGTGAAGTGAGGCTGGTCATGTCCCTGCAGGAGTGTGTGTCTGCAAATAAACCGGCTGCACAGTCCCTATTGGCAGGAGAATATGAGGATGTTTATAAAACTGATAAGATTAGAAGATAAACTAAAAGGTGCTCAATGAGAATTTAATCATTTTCTTTGTTTTATACTTTGTTTTTGTACCAATGATTTCTTCAATATAAGACTGATAGATAATGAAGACAATCATTCGCAGCAGCCTTATATTTATCACTGAATAGTTTCAGCTCTAGTTGTTTTTACATACCTGAAGTTGTTTTTACATACCCCCCCCCCCCCCACTGTGTTGCAGGCGTTGTCCAGGGAGGCAGCGTCTCCTACATTTGCACTCAGATCATCACCATCGTGGAGCAGGAACAGAGTAAAGTGCTGTGGATTCCAGACGGAGCGCAATAGACACGTCGCCCCTCACCTCACGTCACTCAGAAACATTAGAGGATTCTTTTTTTTATCACCCTGGGATACGCAGCGAATCGGTACATCTGACAGACGCCACGGTTAATTCCACACCCACCGATATCAGCACCGATGATGATGATGATGATCATGTAATATTCCCACTACAATAGTGATGTACTGTACTACAGATAGATTTGTTTACACTAGTATTTAATACTTGAATGTTTTATTTCCCCTTTATATCTAGTAGCACTCCTTTAATCCCACTTTGTCCCATGAACATGTTGGACCACAGGAAGTCTGCGCAGATGCAAACTGAAGACTTTATTCTTGATATGAAGATGGAACGGAGCACCGTGTTCCCTTGTCTATATTTATATGTATTCTCCTGCCATTTAATTTATCTAATCAAATCAAAGATGTTGCTTATGAACTTTTTGTTATACAAATGTAGCTGTGTAGTCAATAGGAAGGAGGTTATTTTCCAGGTAACGTTCTTATTTATAGAGGAGAAAATTGGGGCAAATTTGCTTCCTTCACATTGTCTATTTTATTATCTGATGCCACCACTTTTTATCTCTCTGTTGACATCATTTCAGTACTAAACCTAATAATTGTGCCAAGCTAAAAACATTTGTTAATCACTCTCCATTCTTGAATTAATCAACACAATGACTTTCAATGATGACGTAAAGCACAGGCATGTCAGTTTAAACCAGTTGGTCCAGATCGTCAGTTCTTCTGGTTTTCGTCAATACTGTTCCTTTTTTCTTTTTTTTTTGTCAAGTGCGTTTTTAAGAAGGGATATTTTATGTCTGGGTCGTGGTTGGCATGGCGACACATTTACATGCACCTCTTGGATTTTTACTACACTCACGGTGTCAACATTTCATCTTCCCAAGTTTCTCGCAATGAAGGTTCATATTTCTACAAAATATTAAAAACACCAGTTACAGTTAATGGATTTCAATTTGTCAAGTGTTTGTTTTTTCTTTAGAAATTTGGATTGAATATCATCACACACTCATTCTGTACTAATGCCACAAGTTGGACCTCAACGATCACTGTACCTCTTGTCCAGCAGGTGGCGTTAACCCCCCCCCGTAGGTGAGAGATGGTGAGATAGCTCATTTTTCCACTTTTCACAGCTGCTTATTATATTAATACAAAATACTAACGTTCATCCATATTCATCCACTTCTGAAGGGTTGGATGAGCAACTCTTGGGTTTTTTAATACATGCAAGTGAAATGTGTTGATGATGCTTTAGTTCACACTTTTGAGCAGCATTTGAATTTATAAACCCTTCAAACAGAGAAATGTTACTGACCAAGTTCAAATCTTTTAGAAATAAATGATTGTATTAGCATCAGTGGCCCACTGAGATCATAAATCAAATAAAATGAACAATCAAGCCTTAACAGATCCATAACAATCACAACTCTTATTAAAAGCATATGTTTAGAATTTGATTTGAGAACGTGGAAGTCGTTGGTTTATAAAATTTACTTCAGTTTCAGTGTACCACCAGGGCTCAAACCACAAAGTTGCCATCATCAAGAATTAATGAAGCGGTCACTATAAATAACCAAACATCCAGATAAGCATCGACGTCTGCCATCGATGGCTCCTCCCCCCCCCCCCCCCCCCCCCCCCCCCCCCCAGCTACCTGTAAATCTGCGGTGCCATCTTCCGACACATGGATGAGACAGGCGGCTCCTGGAAGCGAGGACCCGCCGACTGAAACCGCGGCTCGACCCCAGACACCGTCGATTTCTCCCCGTTTTCAACACGACTTCTCCCGAGAGGAAGATCGATATGACGCACGAGCCTCTGAGGCGAGCGGCGCATTCAACAGTGCGCGGAGCTGCTGAGAGGCTGTGGAACAAGGTGGAGGAGTGAACCATCCATCCATTCATCCGTTCATCCACCTGCCAGGACACCACTCCTCCTTCTCCTCCTCCTTCTCCTCCTCTCCCTTATAACAACCGCACTTTTCACTGTCTCCTCAGCGGGATCGCGAGTTATTTTGGAGAAGTTTCTCGGGAAAATTTTGATTTTTACGCACAAATGAGGCAACTCGCTAACGCAGCCATGGCCGCGCATCGCGAGGCGCACGACTGAATCTCCATTTCACAGGAAGTTAGTTTTTTTCTTTTCATGACTGTTCGTTTGTGCATCTGCTGTCGACTCAAATTGTTTGTCCCATTCGCTGTGAGTGAAGTCAGATGAGAGGAGCAGAGGGGCGGGAGACGTTTTTACTCAACATGGCTGAGCCTCTTGGGCATCAGGGGGCGCTGGCTGGAGCTCCCCAGGGCGCCTGAATCCCACTTGAGTTGGTTGTTTTGTGTTTCGGGGTGCGGTGGGTGGTGGTGGGTGGGTGGAGCTGGCAGGTGACCATCGGGCGATAATGCCGAAGAACCGGGAGAGATTCACGCCGGACCCGTCCATCCACATCTCCAAGATGAGCTTGATCATCCCCTTCTCTCCAGATGTGCCCTGTGACAGCAGCGGCCAGCGGATGTGGTGGGCTTTCCTCGCCTCATCCATGGTCACCTTCTTCGGGGGTCTCTTCATCATCCTGCTGTGGAGGACCCTCAAGTACCTGTGGACCGTGTGCTGCCACTGTAAAGCCAAGAAGAAGGTACGTCAGGTCGTTACGCATAAACCACCACCTCCCCACAGAGAAATGACTCCTATGTAATCTGTGTGACACCCAGTGCGTGACAGCAACTTGTCCAGCCTGTTTGATTTATGAAATGGTCCCTTAATTAAATTTGTGTTGAGGCTCCATCCTCAGAGAGCACGGAATGTGACTCTGAATAAGAAACAAAAACGATGCTAGACTTGGCTTGGTATCACGAACGGTTCCACAATGACAACCATTATATACAACTGATATTACTCATGGACCAAACACAGGAGAAGGTGTGTTTGGGAACATTTGTGGTTTTGATTCATATTATTTAATGGTGATTTGATCCAACATAAACAGTCGAGCAGTATTATAAATATGCAACGGAGCCGTTAACATAGAAGTATTTTGAAGTTTTATTTGCCCCCAAACTATACAAATCTGGAGATATCCTGGAGGAAAAAAAATAGTCTCTCCAGAAATGATGTTCAGGAGAATCCACAGAACTCCCTGTCATAATGTTCAAGTGGAACTACTTTCTTTTGGGGAATATAAGAAAACCTAAACATGAATCATATATCTATAACATTTGTGTTGCTACAGTGGTATTGTTTTATCGCACAACCCAACAGGTGATGGTCACAAACAAAATTCAATTCACCACCCTTTTATTAGAAAGAAGGATTTTCTTTGTCTTTTCAGTGACATCACACCAAAACATTTTAACACAACGGAAAGTAGCAGAAATGAACAAAAACAAAAAAAGGTTGAAAAAGTGAGATTCTTGCTTTTGTCAAATGTAATTACAGGAAGTGGTTGCCTCGGAGTTGAGTGGAGTCTTTCATTGTTTATGTTCCCATCAACGTAGTCTGAGGTCATTATCATTTACTGCTTGAAAGCCTCCACCACTTGTTTTGAGACACACACACACACACACACACACACACACACACACACACACACACACACACACACACACACACACAATCAGCTGCTGCTACACGGGGTCAGACATTGTTGGGATACCCACTTCTCTCACCAGTGGTGTGTATCAGAGCGTCTGTGTGGAGGTTAACGCTGTGTCATCCCTAGAAATAACTTGCCCAACATTTAAGGCGGGCTGCCACGAGATGTCCCGCTCCAAAATTGTTCCGACGCCATCTGCCCGAGGCCGGCTGCAGTCGAACAGAAACAATGCATGGTGCAGTTTTTCTGTTTGTTTAAAGATTAAGTTTGCATCTTTCTTTATATGTTGAAGGACAAAGACAGACTACAGGTGATGAAGGTGCCTGAGGTGGAGCAGTTTATCTTTCCAGCTAATGTATGCATTCATCTCTCAGACAGGCAGCGTGGAAGAGGAGAAATGGCAAAGGCTGCACGCAGGGTGGTGTTGACCTTTCCAAGGGAGACATCTGTATCGTTTCCATGCTTTGGTCGTAGCTGGTTACAATTAGGGCTGCGGCTAATGAGCACTTTCATCAGCTCTTAATCTGCTGATATGTGTCGGGTGATTTAATTAATCACAACACTCCCAGAGCCCAAGGTGATGTCTTCAAACGGTCTAACCTGCATATATTCAACTTCAAATGTAGAAATCTGCACAATGGGGAAGGGTAAAGAGAATATTTTCCTCATAAATGGCTTAAATAAAAGATCGGCTGAAGATGATATTTATAAAAAATATTAATAGATTTGTAGGAATGGAAAGGAATCTGTTAGAATAAGATAAGTCCACATACAAGGGAGCAGTCTGAGCTTTTCTTTTGTTTTAGATTTTGCCAAGTGAAGCTGGTGAGCTCCACCAACCTGTTGTGCTCTGTGGGAGTCAGCCAGGGACGGGTCATCCTTTCACTTCCAATCTTCTCCTCTCTGCCTTTTCACTCTCCTCGCATCGATTTCATAACTCCTGCCCTGTTTTCTCCTCACACCTCTCCCTCTCTCTCTTCTGTCTCTCTCCCTTTCTCCCTCTCTCTCTCATCCCAGAATCAGCCCTCCTCGAAGTATCAGAAATGCAGTGTCAGGCGCACACGGTATGTGCCATATGAATCAGTGTTTTTGTTGCTAAGCAACTAGCAAGCAAAGGATTTCATTATAAGAGTACATCTCGGTGTTGTGCAGTTGTCTGGGCTGTGAGATGTGTCAGGTTGTTGGAGGAACACCTCCCCACCCCCTCCCAGTCTGTGCATGTCATTAGCAGCTCAAACATGGAGCCCTCGGAGCATTGTTCATAGAGGGAGATTATAATCTGTTTCCTCCTCCCCCCTGGTTTTCAGTTTGTTTTTCCCTCTGCGGGGCGTTCGCTGCCCTGTTCTGCTTCTGACAGATCTCATGTCTCTGAAACTGAGCCTCTAACTCTGTCTTCACAGTCTCATGATCATTGAAAGTCATTGTTTGTGAGGTCCTGATGAATGGTGGTTATGATCTGTCTGGCAGGAAGAAGCCACATATCCAACAGACTGACATTCAGAAGTAGATGTGTCATTGGCCTGTTCACTGACAGCAGGCTCTTGATATCCAGTGGCAATGAATGGACAATATCATGTAATGAATGGATGATTAAATGTAATGAATGCACAATATAATGTCAACTGATTTAGACCAAATTTGGCCATGAACCTTGGTGCAAACATCCATTATCCTGACAGGATGCTAATGCCTCGTTCTATTAAACCTCGGCGTTATGAACTTCCGACCCAGAGTCTGAAGTTGCTACTGGAAGGTCGGAGGAACCTCATCACCCCGGAATTCGAAATACAAGATGGCCCCTCTGTATATATGAACTGTCGTGAAAGTTGTAGTTGTTACTGTTTATCAGCACTTCTGTCATTAAATGTGTCGTACACATAGTACTGTCCAATTACTGTCAGTGGACGTTGTACTTCGGTGTTGTAGTATATTGATGGCATGTAATGAGTTATTATGAACAGTCTTTGCTAACAGTAGCTATTTGTCTAACAGAGTGATATCAACTCGGATAATTCGGGTGTGACGTTTGTTTGAAAGGTTTATAAATTAATTTTGAGGGCAAGCTCTGTGGTGTAATGGAACTTACTTAATCTCACCCCTTACCTATGCTCTATATTGTATTTAATGTACAAACATATATATGTAGTATAGATAATAAATATAAGGATCTATAGTGTTAGCAGTTGAATAATGTTATGAAGATTCTGATTATTTAAAGTGTGTCTAAAAAAGGCCAGTGTGGCGTGTGCATCTTCTGGCCGTGACTCAGAGGCCTCAGATGTGTCAGGTGCGTGGGTGGGGGTTGGTGGAGAGAGTGAGGGTGGGGCGGGGTCATTTAAGGATTCAAATAAAGAGTCGGCACTCTTGCGGTGCTTTTAAGTGCTGTTTGAAATATTGTATGAGTAAGTATGAGACGAAAGTCAGAATACCTGAGTGAACACAGTCCCAACAAGTCAAGCAAAGAGAATATTAATTAAGCATAAATTGAGTTATTTTGGAAAATTAACAATTAGTAACATTAGAGAGACTTCAATTAGTGTCCATTTGATTTTGATCCGTAACCAGTAGTGCTTGAACGCATCACACATTTCCTCAGCCTCTCCCCCTCGATCCTTTCACTGCTGCGGCTGTCAGTCTTCATTTTAAAGAAAGCGTATATATTCCTGCTGATATCAGTTTAATTGGCTGTGTAATTAGTCAGGCAAGTGTTGGCTGCTCACGTTGCACAATGTAAACAGCCTGTTGCTGCTTGGCTGTCGATGCACCATCTGGGATCCAACAGGTCTCAGATTAACACAAATGCTAAACATCTCTGCAGAGCCAGAGCCTGTTGGTTCTCCTCGGTCAGAAAGACAAAAGATGCATTTATCGCCGGACATGCAGGACAGATGGAATCAAAAAATTTAGTTTCATGTGTTTGTATGTACTGTCTTTATGTTGCATGTCGAGAAATAATGAAACTAAACAGTCTCCTGATTTATGTGAATAGTCTTTAATCTGCGTTTTTATTCAGACATGAACTTTTCAGCTTTTTAAAGTAGTTTTGGATAATACACATCAAAAACTCATGCTACTAGTGTCCAGTTTTATCTTCTGATCCCACTTAATACTCATGTCTGACTCACTTCCTCACGTGAAGAATTTAGCCACTTTACGAACTTTGTTTTTTTTGGTATATTTATGTAGATATCAACCAAATAATGTGTCCATTCATTCAGTGATTCATTAATGGAAGGATGTGAGGCCAAGTGCCGCATGTGAAAGTCTCTCATCACACAGCTGAGGGGCAATAGATCAGTTATGCGCTCCGGATATTTCAGGAAGTTTCTGTCCTCCTCGGAGAATGTCTCGATTCATTATTAACGGGATTTATATTAATGTATTTTTAAATTATTCATTCGCTTTTGAAGAAATTGTGTCATGGGGCACGTGTTCTATTCTAGTTTAATGTACTCCGCCTTTGAGAAATGATGGCGGTGGATCATGAGAATGGGCTCAGAGTGTTGATCAATGACCCGCACTGTCGGGGGAACTAGATTCAGGAGGGAGAGTGAAACCTAAATTTGGAGGCTATCGATCAAAGTGACAGAGAGGAGATGTGCTGCCTTAGTGGCTTTAATGACCACGTGTATGTTTCTGGTGTCTGCTGCCATTAAACATGTATCTCATCTACTTTAGTTTCGTTGAAGGGGCCATATGTGCACTTTTTACTCACCAGTCTCTCAGAAATGTTTTGAAACTCAATTTTTCTACTCACCAAGCATTGTAAAGCAATTGTTTTGCTTCTATTTCTACCAGTGACGTTAGCATTGCTAACCAGC